CTTTTTCTTGTAATTCTAGATCGAAATGTTAGAGCAAAAATACGGTGGCCACCTCATCTCCCGCCGTGCCGCCTGCAAGATCCAGACTGCCTTCCGCCAGTACCAGCTCAGCAAGAACTTTGAGAAGATCCGCAACTCATTACTGGAAAGTCGTCTCCCTCGACGCATTTCCCTGCGCAAAGTCCGTGTGCAGAACACGGAGGGTTTCTCCGCTGAACGGGCGCTGGCAGAAGGATGTAACCTGGCAGGTATTCCTTTGGTGCGTTCACCATCTCTGCCCACCACAGTAGGGGGCACCTTGACTGACCTGGAAGACAGCTTCACTGAGCAGGTCCAGTCACTGGCCAAGTCCATAGATGATGCACTCAGCAACTGGAGCCTGAAAACCATGTGTTCACTGCAGGAAGGAGGCGCCTATCAGTTCACTGCTGACTCCTTCAGCAGAGCAGGAGTAGGAGGTGGTGGAGAAGGAGGAACCCTGGGACAGGGTACAACAATTCAAGGCTCACTCGATCCAAATGACCTCTCAAGAAATGCAAGCAAACTGATGATGGCGTTCCGAGACGTGACGGTGAAAATCGACAGCGCCAACTTCAGCGTGTCGTCGTCTGTCCTGGAATCGTCCACTTCTGTCACCGTCCAACCAGACGGGACTTCAACCACCTTCACGACCACAACCTCAAACGCCTCACCAGTCTCTGTCCCATCACATCAACCTCCTCCTTCACCCGCAAAGGCCTCATTCGACCCTATAGATCCTCCGCCCCCTCCCCAAGAACCTCCCCCGCCTCCAGAATCAGACATAGACGAAGGCGACCAGGATATTGAATTCCCCGCTCCTCCTCCAAGTGAAGAAGAGCTCGCAGGTGAGGACCAACCTCCCCTGACCCCTCTAGAAAAGATGGCTTTGCCCCAAAGCCCAGAGAAGATCGTGGTGGTCCCGCCTCCACCCACTGAACCCCCGCGGGCTCCGCCACCGCAGGACACCGTAACGCAGAGGAGCCCTCCTGTGGTCGAGCCTCTCGGGGTGAAGAGGTGCAGCTCTGAAATGGCAGACAACAGCTCAGAGCAGATGAGCAGCAGCAGCACGTCCACAGAGGCACGCTCCACGTCGGAGTCCTCCTCCAAAGAAGCGCTCCAGGCTATGATCCTCAGTCTACCGCGCTACCACTGCGAGAACCCGGCCAGCTGCAAGTCGCCCACGTTGTCCACCGACGTCATGAGAAAACGCCTCTACCGCATCGGCCTCAACCTCTTCAATGTGTGAGTGGACACTTCATTTTATTCCTTTTGTGTTCACACAATTCTGATTAAATTATGAGGTGGGGATTTTTTTTTTTGTCTGATAGAAGTTTTGAATTATTGTTAACAGTTCAAATGAGTCATTTCACTGTAACACATCATAATGGCTCCAGGACATTTGTGCTCTTTGGCTCAGTAATTAGTTTTTTTTTTTTTTCTTAATTACATTACAGAGGAGTTAAATGGGCTCCTGCTCCTTCTCTCTGCTCCTTCCAAAACCTATAAAATTAATACAATACTCCAGAGCAGGGTTTGAAAATGATTTATTTACACACAGAAGCAGCTGCCGAGGAACAAGTGCTGAAAAATGTTTGTTTTCTAGAAATAAATGGGACAGGGTCACATGAGCATTAACAGGATTTAAAGTCACCGTCAGATTATATGGCTTTGAGTTTGTTTCAAACGTTAAAAGTTGTACTTTGAAAATGGCTTTTATCTTTGTCACAAAGCATTTCTACAGTCTTGGTGAAGAGTCAGCTATAAAGGTCAAATGTAAACGCTAAAAGTGAGGAGCTAAAGTGTAGCATAAGCTGCTGAGGTATAGCTAAATCAAAATAACCAAACACAACACTGAAAGACATTATAGAAAATATCATGGCCATAAAATATATAAAAAATAGTACACGTGAAATTGTTTGACAAACGTAGTAAAAACGTCAGCTCTAAAATAACACCAAGTCTTAAATTGTAGGTAATAATATATTTAAAATAACTTAAGTTTAGTCAAAAAAAGCACAAGAAAAAACATTAATAGAGACAAGTGTTAGCCTAGGGAAAGTATAACCGTGTCCTTGACGTGTTCGTGACAATTTAACAATAAATTAAGAAATAAATATAAAGTTTAAAAAAAAGTAACTTCTTAAAATATTTTACTGATATTAAGAGAACTCTTTGAAGAGCTTTAGTTTAGACTCTACCCGTTGATGTTTTCATCAGCTACAGCGTCAATATTCTCTGGTCTTTAACAGCTGCACATGTTAAAAACAGTACGAGTCATCTCTGTTTTCCAACAAATCCCCAACAACCATTGTGTTTTCCACTGGGCTTCATGAATAAGTTAGTCAGCAGATGGATCTTTGTTTTTTTGTATTTGCTGCTTCAAGCTTTGCCGTCATTGTGAATTCCACTCCTCTCTCTGCTGCCTAGTGAAGAGTGACAAAGTCAGCAGATGAGAGCTTCCACAGAGGGAGGTGCATGCTGGGTACACTGCAGCGAGGAGCAGTGACAGCAGAGATTTGGACCAGCGCTGACGAAATCTGTAATATTTAAAGATAACCCTTGCATATCCTGGAGGATTTGATGTTTTTATTTCTAGATTTAATCCTTGGACTCCACCCCTTCCTTTCTAGATAATTGTGCTTTACTGTCCTGCGGTCCAGATCTGTCCTCTGTGCTTTACTGTAAGTAAGTCACAAGTATCAAGACGGGTCATTTGGCTGTCCTGCGGTCCAGATCTGTCCTCTGTATGTGCAGTAAGTGACTAGGACATAAATCAAATTCATCACATTAATCACAGGGTAACTGTAGATTACACCAAATAATCATGATTAATTGTGATTAATTATCATCATAGCTGTCCATCTTGAAGGTTACCTTCCAAAGTACAGTCTTCACAGTCCATTTGACAGTTAGCAGTTAGCTTGTCACCTCAAGTCTTACTTTGTTCGTCGGAAATTTCACCTGAAGTTGAAGCCTCAGTCTTGAGAATCCTGAGGTGCTACACTGAAAAGAAAACATCTTTCGTCATGTGTATAAATGACAAGATTTGTATCAACTGTGTGTTAATCTGAGGATAAATGGTTGAGCAGCTGAATTATTGGCTAAACAGTTCATACAAAAACATTAGATTTAACATTTATAATGATATGGTAGAAGGGTGTTGTGTCATTTCCAAAAATTCTCAAGGTCTTCCAGTTTATGAAGATTTGCAACCATTGTTCTGGAAAGTCAGTATCATCAGTCTGCAAACAGCCAATGTCACAGGAATAACTTAAACAATGAGATTTCCCACATCCTCTAATGCCTCACCGCATATTCAAATATATGAGCTGAACCCCGCCAGGATATACAGTATTGAAATAAGCTCCACCAGTCACATCTAAAGTTAAAAACATGAGAAGTTGGAAGTAAAAAGAAAAATAATAGTATTGAACCACCAGGACTAAAATTCTAATGAGAGACGTTCTCCTCCAAGTCCTGAATGTAATTAAAAGTTCCTTTGGCAGTGGCTGAACCAGCACCATTGGAACTGGAATGAATAATATATGTTACATCAGTGGAGATTTTTTTTTTTTTGTCGCTGTCCCAACAATTTGGTTTGAAATCTGCAAGCAATATTTTTAATATGTTGCAATAAGGAGGGAAGTACACTGGAAAACAAACACAAGAAACGCATTTGGCAAAATATTGCTTCAATTAAGGCACAACCACGTGGTAATTTGGGAGACAGGCGCTCGTAAACACTAATAACGTTGGTGCCCACTGAGTGTGACGCTGGAAACAAAGGGGGCAAGAACAGGTTGTACCAAGAGTGCAGTGGGATTGTGGGGAGTATTATTATAATTAGTACTCTACGGAAAACTATGTGGAAAAGTAGTATTTGCACCACCTGTAGGAGGTTTAAAGGCAGATGTTACAGTTCAAAAATATGTCAGATTTTAATCACGGAAACGTCTCAACATATATTTTTTTAACTATATTTTTTGTCATTTTCTTTGTGACATGACATTTATTCAGGTTTTTCAACAGATGAAAAAAAATACAATAATATAAATGTATATTCATATATTAATAATATATAAATATATATTTTCATATATACAATTTTAAAATGTTTTATTAAATATGTTATATATTATAAATAAATGCATACGAAATAAAAAAAATAGAAAACGAGATTTTTTTTACCAAACTTTAATAATCTTTTTTTTTAATTTAAATTCTTAAAACTAAAAGTATATTTTAAAGGAACTGTGTTTGAGTTCTTGGATGAGACATCAGGTCGTGACCTGGTGTCAAAGACATCCGGCAGAATTCTACAAAGAAATAATTCTCTGATGGAGCCACTGAGCGCAGTCATTTTTAAACTTTAATTTAGTTAGATATGTAGAGAATATCAAAATTCAGTATTTATCTCTTTTTTACTTTTTGGCTACTGTTCTGGCTGAGAAAAAAAACCCTGACCATAGCACCACCCTGTGGTAGATGGGAATCGACTCAATACAAGAAAACGTAATTATGACTCTGGTTCTTGTAGTACACATGCCAGGCCTGTATGTGGTGCTCTGTCACCTCCGCTCTAGAATGGTGTTTCACATAAAACTTTGCTGCTCAAGATGAAGCTGCGAAATAATAATTAGCTGTAGCACACCAAGTAGCCGAATTAGCCCCTCTAGCACAATCAGAACTAGCCTGTTGTCCGCCATTGTTGTTATTGTTTGGTAAGAGGCCCTGGCTGACAGGGTTGAAGGGTTACAGAAAGGTGGAGCTGACAACATAGTCTCTGTCAGCTCCGTTCACGCTGATTGTTCCAAACACAAGGTCGAATCAGTGCTAACGCTTCCCCTCGCATTAAAACTACATCAGTGTCGCGTATCGTGTACATTTCATTACTTCATGCAAATGTTTGCACTTTGATAGAGTGAGTGTGAAATGCGATCCGTTTGTCTAATTACTTATGTTAAACAGTCAGTGTTTTCATCTCCGTTCAGAGAGAAGGTGAAGACAGGGCTGTGCGCTAGCTCTTTGTTTGATGACGATGTTTTTTGTTTTTTTTTTCTCGGGACGTTTTCCTCCGTCGATAAAGTGACTGGTTTGGTCGCCGTTCCTGTCTGTTTGCCTTCTCGTCCTCCTCTCATTTCCACGATCAAACACTTTAGATATAAATTCACTTTTAATAAATTGGCTTCAAAGGAAAGGCAGAGTGATGGAATGAAAACGGAGAGGTGGAATTAAAAAAAAATAAGAGAGAGAGAGAGAGAGAGAGAGAGGAGATGGAGAGGGCAATCAGGCTTAAGGCTTATTAGTTCCAGCAGTTCATAGCCTCCCTCTAATACCTGTGCTGTTATATCCTTTGCATCTTAAACAGGACTGTTTGCTTTAGGCTACGGCTCGGGTTATTGCTTGATCATGCAGAAAAAAAAAAAAGCCTCACACACACACACACACTTGTGTGTACGCCGATAATGTAATGCTCGTGTGTGTGTGTATAAGTGTGTGTGTCTGCCTGGCAGCAGGTGGTCTGTGCAGCATTTTAACAGGAGGAGTTGAAGAGACGTAGAGGAGGATATTAAAGGGAGGAACAGTCTGAAAGTTGTGGTGTAGGTGTAGAGGTGGAGGGGTGAGAGAGGAAAAGGTGGAGAGAGAGAGACAGAGAGAGAGAGAGAGAGGGGAAGGACTTGATAAAAGTTTCCACCTCAGAGTGTGTGTGGAATGACAATGACTCTCTCCTCGGTAAGGACAGAGAGACACGGCCACAGGGACGAGGGTGACGTCCATGTGATGTCCATGACTACGACAGTGTTTTCCAAACTTTGATTTCTGGGGACCCGTATTTTAAAAGTCACAAACCTTCGCGACGCAAGTCAATAGACGTTATTCGTAAACTCCTGGGAAACAACGCTCTATGAGCTTTAGCGCCTTCTAGTGGTGAAGACACTGTCTACACTGTTGTGTTTATACATTTGTATTTAATAATTGAATCCCTCTTAATTTGATAGTAACATGAACTTTCAGCTAACGCTAAGCTTTTGTAGGGGTTTTTTTGTTGCTAGATTTAGTTATTTCGTAGCTAATTTCACGTATAATACTAACTTTTATCTGGCTGGGGTTTTAAAAAAATCAGAGAAAAAAATGTAATCGCACCATCCACAGTTTGCTATTTATTTATTTTTTTTTGCTAGATTTTAGTTATTTCGCAGCTAATTTCACGTATAATACTATTAATCGCACCATCCACAGTTTGCTATTTTCGGAGACACCTGTAACACCGATGCATATACTCTAGCGCAGTAGGTGGCAGTAAAGTACCATGGGGGGAAAGTAAAATGCTCAGCATACATTAGGTAACAGCAGATCACAAGTTTGGTGTATGAACTGTGAAAATTAAACTGCGTTTTTTTTTTTTTTTTTTTTTTTAATGACACATCAAGCGTTTGAAAGTCAAATCTGAATTCATACGGTTAATCACCAAAGCTTAATTAACAGACTTGATCAACAAGAGAGACAACCTGCCACCAGATGGACGCGGACCGATTAATAAGTTGTACCTGCAGATACTTGGTAGTACTGGCACACAAACCTGCCCCGCATTAACATTCAGCCCTCTGTGCTAAATGACCCGGTCCCTAATTACAAACTCTGAAATCCAGATGGCAAACAGGAAGCGTTTCTAATCTGCCCAGAAATATATCCCCCAGAAATATACTATCAATTAATTACCCATGGAACACAACACCTTTTTTATTTCCGCATCTGCTCTTGTTATTTAAAGATTTTCATCTGCCGTCATAAAAAATACAAGCACGTAAAAAACCTCACAAACGTTCACTCGTAGCCTCGTCGCACATCACCTCTCTGCGATATGGCCGTTATATCATTTGATGTTAGCTCAGTAAACTGAACAGCACGTCTGGTGGCTTATGGCTAATGCTGATTTTACTGTAAATAACTTGAGGTCAGTCCCTTAAGTACAGTCCCACTGATGTAAGTATAAATATCTGCACACACACTTGCCTTTTAAAAAGCACAATATCACTGTTACAGTCACCTTTATATATTTCTTGGCAATTTCAACACAGTGACCCTTTGTCAGTGTGATCCTGAGACCATTGCTGTTTAAATACAGTGGGGGCTTCAAGATACAGCACTCGTGTGTCAATCCACTTGATTGCATTTTCCTCATTAAAAATAACTAAAAACCAATTACTTTCTTCCAGCCCCCCAGAAATATACTATCAATTAATTAAATTAAATCTCTCCCTTCTAAACATCAAGAACATAGGAAAAAAAAACAAATATATTGATAATATGAAATAATAATAATTAAGAAAACATTTTATATTATTGTTATAAAAATGGGTTAAATAAAAAAGCGAGATTGCAAACGTGGAAAAATGGAGCTCGGTTGAGCACTCGTAACTCCATGTTTCCTCGTATCAGGAAGAAAATCTTGCAAAAGTCGCTTACTCGTAACATGGAGAACCCGTGGTCTGGGTAGCTCATATCTTAAAGCCCCACTGTATTTAAAAAAGTAGGTGTCACTTAATTGCATTCCTCAATTGTCTCCGTCTCGGGTTGACTAAGTCCTCAGGTAAGGCTTAAAGTTATATCTAAAATACATGAATATCATGTCATATGCTGATGATACAATAATGTTCCTTAAAGCTGAATCATGACACAAGATTGAGTTCATTTCTGATTTCTTTCATCTCACATAGCCTTCAGTGAAGGAAAATGGGAAATACTATGACTGTAGAAGAACTACTGCAGTACTATATGTCCCTCTCAGTTGTCTGCTCAGCAAACCTGACAGACAGGAGCAACGTTTTGTAGCAGCAGTGAAATGACCCAGCGTTCAGTTTAACCACACAGTTGTGTTCGCTCTTAAAAAAAATACATCACAGTGAGATAAAACACGCATCAATCTGTCGCTAGTTAGTTATGCTAACAGATGCATCTGGACAAATCTGTGAAAATGCTGTGGTGACAGTTGGGCTCCAGTAGGGGGCCATGAAACACCAGGTCAAAAATAATAATAGGAGGTGCCATTATGTATCTGAAATGTTACTACTTACCTATTTGCTAGTAGGTTAGCTATTGTGTTAGCTATTGTGTTAGCTATTGCAACTAACTTTAATCTGTTTCTGGGCTAATTTACAGATTGTTTAAAAAACTTAAGATGTTGGTTTTAGCTATTACTGGTTCAGCATTATGGTTTTTTGACACTTATTTGTTTTAAATGTATTTGTTGCTATTTTATCAAATTTTAGCTTTTTTGTGCCAAGTTTTTAAACAACTGTTTTTTTCTAATAACCTCAAGGTGTTTCGACAACATTCTTTGGAAATCGGAACAACTCCACGCCTGACATTTGAATCACAGCTTTAATATGCTATAATATGACTTCATACATTTGCATGTTGGTCATTTTTTTCACCTGTTTAAATTCCCAACTATTACAAGGAAATTTATTGCCCTGTAGGTATTGTCATAAGACCTATTTATTATAGAAACATTTCGATCAAACTGATATTTAATATCTCCTGCAATGTCTTGCTTTTGCATCAGTTTACAATTATCTGCCTTCTTGTCAGTTTTAAATAACAAAAATCACCATCTGTCGCAGGGTAAATATAACATGATCACAGCAGAGAGGGTGAAGTAAAAGCTGTGAGGAAGCAGATGCTGTCAGAACAGATACTTTCACTCTGATGCCGATCATCTTCCTCGTCTTCACCAGCCTCTCCCAGCACGTACGTCCTGTCTGGTGTTCCCACTGCGTCCTCTTCCCCTTTTACCCTTTATTCTTTTGTCTACCTTGGCCTCAGTAAACCCATTAGCTGTCTAATGGACACAGGCGAGGACGAGACAGAGGAAAAAAGTTTTTTTGTTTTGTTTGATTTTCAGACATAACATACTGAAAACATTATTTATAAAAAGAAAACCCACACATTTACCAACTGTACCTTCATGTTTGAAATGATTTAAAATGATTATATATCTTAGGGTTCGTGTTAAATTATTCGTGTTTTACATTGGATAAGAATGCGATTGATCATGATTAAATGTTTTCATCGACTGACACCCCTATTAACACTATTAAAAATATAAAAAATATTTATATAAAAATTAAATAACATCATAGTTTAATTTGGCACTGTGTCCGTGTTCAATCATTTGAAGGCTTCAAAAAGTTGCACAATTGCTGGCAAAATCCCCTGGATCAATGACTTTCTGAAACGTTGCCCTCCGGCTCATTGTCGACCAAGTCCAAGACTAACAAGAACTGAAACCTGAGCTCACGGAAAAAACGTGTGTGTGATTGTGTGTAATACAAGTGAGTTTGGTTTAGAGGTAAATCCCAGATCAGACATTAGGATTCTGTCAGTGTAATCGGTGTTTAGCATAGAGATGAGCTTTTTAGCATTTAAATAAATGCACACTCTTCAGGTAAGCAGCATCCATCCTGCTGATTTGGTGATTTTTTTTTCTCTTCCTAATAAAGCTTCTCTTTTATTCACCTTACTTTAAGGAATCATTACTCTGCTATCAGAGCCAATCATGTCCAGAGTAGTGTTTAATACTCCTTTTTATGTCTTATGCATTTTTTCAGAAATCCTGATAAGGGTCTCCAGTTCCTCATCTCCAGAGGCTTCATCCCAGACACACCCATCGGGGTGGCTCACTTTCTGCTGCAGAGGAAGGGCCTGAGTCGGCAGATGATCGGAGAGTTCCTCGGGAACAGCAAGAAGCCCTTCAACAGAGACGTCCTGGAGTAAGTTGTCTTTGTTGTTGTCGCAACACCTTTGTCTGAGTTTCTAATACAGATCTGCTGTAGGTTTGCAGAGAAACCACCAAATGTACACTTCAATACTGGAAACATCAGCTGGGGTTACACAGCCGTTCATTATCACAAGATGTAATTACAATGGAGTTTGATGCATTTTCCAATTAAAAATAACTGAAAACTAATTAATTTGTTCCAGCACCCCAGAAATATACTATTAATTATTTTTAATTAAAATGTCCCCCTTATCTTAACATCAAAAACAAAGATAAACAAATATATTATTATATATATTATATTAGTATATAAACACTTCATGTTTCCTCATATTGCAAGGAAAATCTCAAGCAAAAGTCGCTGACTCGTAACTTGAAAAACTCATATTTCGAGCCTCCACTGTATTACAGGTCATAATGGCACACAGACCCAGACCCAGGAAAGGTCACAGATGGGGTCATACAATGGAGCAGTGATAATTACCTGGTGACCTGTGGGCTGAATCCATCCAACCAAAATATCACATTAATTCCAAAACACCAAAAAGAATGTTAGATAAAATTGTAATTTTTATTTTATTCGAGTGTCCCCCAAAAAACTCTGGTGACCCCTGCGATGGACCACGTAAAATGCAGTGGCGGGCCAGATTTGGCCCGTGAGCCTTGAGTTTGACATGATAAAATAGAACTGTACTAAACCTTCTCTTCTCACTTCTTTACCCCACAACAGTATTTCAAGCAGTTCACGTCAATTAACCCAAATTGTGTTTATGGATCGAGGCTCTGTGGACAATGTCACCCAGAGGACGTCTTCTTTGATAATATGCAGCGCTCGTTAGGCAGGAGAATGAGATCCGTGTCCGTCAGCTGCTTTACATTCATTGGCTTTGATGTTTATGCATAAAGAAAACATATGTATGAGAACGAGGGTGAGCATCCTGTGTCTGCAAGAATCCTGTGTACGTGGCAAGAATGCACGTTGTCCTGACTCAGTGTGTGTTAGAGGAGGGAGCTGATTGGCTTAAAGCATCGTGTCCGCTGCTGCAGGAACCAGGAGTGACAGCTGGTTGAGAAGGAGTGAAGGCACAGACTGCCGTGGAGTGAGGCACCACAAGGTCGTTTAAGAAATCGGCGGTTGGAATAGTTGATAAGGAGAGAAACTGAAACTTGAAACACGTAGCATTTTTTTTTGTTGTTGATTAAAAAAAAGAGAGGAAAGAAAAAACTTGTCACACTAAATGATAAATGTTAATAAGTAGCAAGAAACGTGGGTGTCATGATGGATGACCTGTTGACCTTTACAGATCATGTTGCCTCTGTCTTCCAGTCATGTCGCTTTACGCCAGTACGGCGGGCCCCCCCTAGGGGGAGCATGGGATGGGATGTGAAGGGCTTCCAATGGAATATGGCACACTGGACATACGCAAGTGCACCACTGCTGTAATGAAACTTTTGAATGATAACAAGCCTCTAGTCACTAGGTGGCAGCATACAGTAAAAAAATATATATACATGTTATCAGGTGATGTCCAGAATGCAGTGGCCCGTCTGGTCTTCAATCAACCGAGAAGGGCACATGTCACCCCCCCCCCCCCCCCCCCCCCCCCCCCCCCCCCCCCCACCCACAAATTTGTCACTGTGACACAGCACACCACTGCACACAACGGAATGTCACCTCTGCATTTTACTCATCACCAACGTCAGTAGGGGGCAGCTCAAGCTGGTGGACTCAAACCTGAAACCTTCCAGCGCCATGTCCGCTTCCTTAACCACCAAGCATCAATTTCAGATCATTATTGCGAGCCTACAAAGTACTTAATTCTTCCATAAATGTTAAAAATGAGAAAACACATTTCCAGTGTGTTCCCCTTACGGTCCCTGAACCAGACTTTGGACCTCCCAGTGCTAAAAGGTAATAAATAGAGATAATTAGCTTTCAGGATGTCTTAGTCATGCCGCAGCAAAAAAAAAAAAAATGTTGCTGTGAGAAACGAATGTTCTCCAGCGGTGATTTAAGCCTTGAAGGAGCCGTAAGAGTGTTTAAAAATAGAAGCGGGAATAATTGGAGAGCCAGAAGATGAGCAAAAGTAGTAATTAAAGGACAAGTACC